CATCTCAAAGCCAGGGCTTACAGGTCACAGGTGGGTTTAGGGATTCTTTAGTTGACAATTGGCTGAGTTGAGTTAGGCCTTGTCCAAAAGACTAGGAATCGGCAGAAAGGAATGCTTGAGTTAAGATAAGGGTCTTCTATCTTTTATGTGATGCTACACCGGAATCTGGTTGGGAAGTAAACCACATCATAAAAACCTGTTTACTGATATTTTATCATTTGTAGGCGTGACTCACCAGGCCCCCTTAGAAAAGAATTTTGGGGGCAAAGATCAGAGTTCAGTCCTCACTTGTTCAATAAGGCTGCAAAAGACTTAAAAATATTTGTATTATGTTTCTATTAGACACTTCTTTTTCCCCGCTCTACATTTCAGATAAAAAAAACCACTTGCAGTTTCCGACTGAGCCCTGTTTCTCTGCCAGAGACTTTGTATATTCCTACTGGTGCCTGAGACACTTTTTCCTCTTCTCTTCGCGGAGTTAACGGCTCTTACTCATTCAGACCTTAGTTTTTAACTACCGCTTTCTCTAAGACAAGTCCCTGACCCCACCACGTCCCCCGCAACACTGGACAAGGGTCTCCTACGTCCAGTCCAGAATCCAACGTATAGCACTTATCATAATGTATCTGCAATTGCCTATTTTCTGTTTTGTGTCCTCCATAAGACTGGAAGCTCCTTGAGGAGACAGACCCTCACAACCGCCGTCTTCCACACCTAGTGGGCAAAGCCAGGCACACGGCAGCGTCTCGACGGAACCAACCAGCGGTAGGACTGAAATGGAGAAAGAACGCGAAGACCACAAAGGTTCATGGGTGAAGAGGTGGAAGAGCCGGAGAGGAGCCGGGGCCGCCGGCAGCACTCACCAGTCCCTGCTGGCCGATATCGGCGTCCGGCCGTTTGGCCGAGTGTGGCGCGTACTCGGCGTAGCGCAGCCCCTCGCCGGCGGGGGCGACGCCACCAGGAGCGGCCATGGCAATGGGGCCCGGAGAGACGCCAGGCGCAGCGACCCAGCCTACGAGGCGGCCGCAGGGACAAACTAGTTAGGCCGGGTTCATCTCGCGGATTTCGCGGACGCTGCCGCCGCTGCGCTGGTGAAGGCGGGGCCTGGAGATCTCATTCTCACTCGGACTCGGGTCGCAAATCCCATCAAAACCCGCGGTCAGAGTCCGAGCCTGGGGCTCTGGGACGTGTAGGATTTTTTTGTTTCTTTCAAATTCGCAGGCCCAAACCCAACGCTGGGCCTCCTGAGGCATTGCGGGGTGGAGCCCCTTCCCAAGACCGCCCTGAGGGCCTGGGCGTTTTTGTCCTGGGATGCCCGGCCAGGAAAGACCCAGAGTCCAACTGTAGTGCTTGAGAGTCGGGACGTGCCTGAGGTTTCCTCACCCACTCCCGGCCTTTCTTCCCACCCCCACTTACAGATCATATTCTGTTTAATGCCACAGTTCTCCCACCCGGGAGAGCAATTGAAGAGGCAGTTTGCTTACTCCACCCCCGAGTGAATGGCCCTATTTAAGATGAAATTACAAAGAAATAAATTTCATTCCCCACAAATGATTTTGTGCTGACTTGGGTATAGAAAGACTCATTTTATTATTCATTTTTATGTCAAGCTTCTTAGAGCAAAAATTAACCAACAGTGGAAGCCTGTATGGCGTTTGCCAACTTCTGTGCCAATTTGGCAGGTCTTTTGCCTTTTACACCCGTTGCAAAATTAGCTTGCAAGAAGATAAATCTTTTTTTTTTTTCTATTCCTGAATTTAAAGTTTTGAGGCTCTGTTATTCACTTAGCTAATATTATTAGCATGCCTAAGATGTTACGTCTTGGAGGAATTTATAATCTAGTGGGGAAGATAACACTGACACAGTGGTACTACATAGCAGAACATGGTCACATGCACTGTGTGGAGGTATAAAGAGATCTGGACTGAGAGGAGGGAAGAGGTCTGAGTTTTAGTGTCCCTCCATCATTTTCTGGGCTCCTGTCCCTGAACATGCCCATTAACCTCTCAAAATCTCCTGTCTGTAGAAGGGGAGTAACATTTGTCCATCATTCTGACTCAGGAAAGTTGTAAGGATAAAATGAAAAAAAAAAAAAAAAAGGTAGTTATGGAAGCAATTCGTGCGGTGCATTTATGAAGAGAGTTACAACCACAGTGCTGCTCGAGTTTACAGGAGGGAATGGCCACTTTTAACAGGAGTCATCAGAGAAGGTTTGGTGGAGGCTTAGCATTGAGATGGCCAGTATAGAATGGGTAAGATTTTTTTAGATGGAAGAGGAGGAGGTTCAGAAATTTCAAACAGAAACAAATGCAAAGAAATGAAAAAGGTGCCATGTAGGACTGAGTAAAAAACACTCCAAGACTTTTCAGAGACATATTATTACAGAAATTAATTTTCATTAAATTGATCCACAACTGTGAAGAACACTGGTGAACTAAGCAAATGCATTGGATTGGGGCCTACAGGTCATTCATTCATCCATTCATTTATTTATTTGTTCAATAAATATTTATTGGGCATGTTAGGTATAAGGCACTATGCCAGGCATTGTGCATTGTTATAGTGTCAACAAACAAACAAGATCTCTGATTCCTTGGAGTTTAGTGTCTGCTAGCAGCTGGGCCCTAGCAGTAATAGGCTACTAGCCTGGAACAATTGAGCGATTGGAGCAAGACCCAGGTTAGCTGGGTCTCAGGGCATCTGCTGTCCCTGCTCAAGAACTGGAGGGAAGCTTTCAGAGCAGAAGCCAGGAAAAGGGGGAAAAGAAGAACAGGGCAGGGGAGAGGATAGCAAAGTGGAGGGGAGGTGGGCTCAGCAGGGTTGCATCTCAGCTCAGACCCCATCCTATTGAGAGCAGATGGCTGGCTGCTTGTAGATTTGCCTGCCCACTCCCTCAGACATCTGCTCCTACAGAAGTACCCAGTTTTAATGAAAAATCTCATCCACAAAGATTACCCAGTTCTTAGCCTTTGGTTCCTGGGTAAACGCACCCTCACCAGCAAAGAATGGAAACAAGAGCATGAAATCCTATTCCCTTTCCACAAGGATCTCTTTCTAATGTAGCTAAACTCACTTTTCTGGCTTCCAAGAGAATGAAAAAGAATGCTTTTGTGAAAACCGAAAGGAAGGCCACATTAAATTTTCATTGGCCTATTTTTACCAGTTATACCACTTCAAAGACAGATTACATTATGTTCAATAGACTTTGCATTTTTGGTTTTTTTCTTTGTAAAAGAAAGGCAGATTACATTAGTAATACATCTTAGAAA